GTTGGAATATATGTTCGGTTTCCTCAACTGAGCTCATGAGTTCTCTCACTGAAGATCCACACAACGATTTTCGATAGGAGAGTACAGATCTAACAATAATTCCCCTAAATTTCCTCTCAGAATCTCCACGTTTCTACCGACACATATAGTTGACCATTTGCGTATATTCTCATACTGCTCTCGTCAGTTGTAAGGTTCATGATGAAAAAAGCTCACATATCGTTTATCGGCATTTCGGAAATTGGCATGAACACGCTTCCCACGAGAGGTTATTAGTATCTTCGTGGGATCCTAGACCTCTGCCGGACCGCTCGTGAACCATAGCACTTCACCACCCCTTTGCTTGTTATGACAGTGCTTCGGCTAACCGGAAAACGCAGCATAGTCTACCGTATTGGCATCAAGTGCAACCAAGTCGATGACGGTGTTGGATTTCGAACTGACACACACCGTCTGGAGCAACGCAGCACAGATATCAACTCATGTGTCGTATAGATTCACAAACATGTATGAGTAATCACCTCTTACTAGCGATGCACAGTGGTTGGGTTATGTGGAGTTATCAGGAATTCGAGGGAAGCAAGCCTTGCGAGTGAACCATAGGGAAGGCGAGAGTTTGTGCACTGTACTGTATTCGCTCGTGCGTTTCGTGCAGTGTGGGCGAATATGCATATGGTCAACTACGCTCGTTGGTGAGAACGTGAAAATTTTGCGAAAATTTTGGAAAATTATTGCTAGTTTTCGTACACTCTAAGCCTGAACCGTGTGCAATTCCTCGTTGTGTCATGAGGGAGCTCCTGAGGCCAGCTGGGGAGAGCGAGCAATGCTCGCAGAGGTCCAGGAAAATTGTGAGTGAGAATATTGGCAGCTTTTGATAGTCATTTGTCCAGTGTGAGAAAAATGCACATGGTCAACCACATGTGTTGGTGTCAATATGAAAAATCTGAGGAAATTTTGGGAAATTCTCGTCGATTCCTGTGAATTTCTACCCGAATTCATATGTAAACTTGTATAATTAGTGAGGAAACTGTCAGGCCGAGCTGAGGGAAGCGAACACTGGATTCGTCAATTGACGCAACACTGCACTGGATATAATAGCAGAGGAATGCCTTAAAAAGCAGCAGCCTGATCATACTCAATCGATGGAGATTGTCCTTATCATAAACTCATTCAAGGGATCTCTTCAGTCTAGAACGGTATAGGAAAATATGCACATGGTCGACCACATGTGTCGGTGACAATATGGAAATTCGTGTTGGTTTCTCTACACTTTTATACTAATTCATATACATTTAGTGAGGAAACTCCTGAGTTCAGCTGAGGAAAGCGAACATATATTCCCCCCAACACTGGCCTAGATATGCTATGGCATCTTCTATTCTGATCGTGCTATTGGCAGCATGCATTCGAGGTCAAGGGTGACCACGCTGTTAGGGAACCCAGTCGTGGTTGGTTTCATCGTTCCAGTTCAGAATTTTCCACACTAGTTATGAAAACTCGCACACGAACTAGGGTAGGAGAATTCACAAACCGGCAAGAAATTCTCCTTATTGGCATCAGCTATGTAGTTGACCATATGCATATTTTCCCCCTATACAAAGGCCACATACAGGCGCTAACTCGTAAGCATTTCACTGAGGGTAATTAATTGATTGAGTTATGTGATACATTAGGGAATTTACAAGGATGAACTCTTTGTTGATTTCAGTTCAATGACAGTGTTGTTACATCGACAACTTCGTCGTTTATCGCAGAACTTTACTTCGCTCTCCTTCTCCTCATCTGCGTATAGTTTTCCAATTGGACCCGAGGTGGGAATTTCCCCAAAACTGCTTTCACAGAGGCTACGGACTCGCATTTTCCCCGTGTATTGATGATCCGCTTGAGCGGGAGACTGTTCTGACAGGTACCACCAGATTTCCAGCGACTGAGCCATGGTGTAGCTTCTGGTCGATCTGGCGCCATCGTTGCTGATGTCACGTGAGTTGATCAGCGATCACTAGTCGGGTTTAATCATGAAAGACACCAGTGTGGTAAAAATATGCACATGGTCACCCACATGTTCTGATGACAACATGAAAACTCTGAGGGAATGTTGCCGAATTCTTGCTAGTTTCTCTGCACCTCTCTAACCCAACTCGTATTTATACTCCTGTGATCAGCGAAAAAACTCCTGAGCTCAGCGAACATTCATTCCTCCAACACTGTTGTGAATGTGCCCAGATACGACCCTTCAGTTGAAGACATACTCATCATAGATGATATTCCACCGGAGTTCCCTTTCTGTCGGTTGCTTTCGGCGAACAGGGGAGATCAGAATGGCTCTCTGACCCTACTCAGTAGCTTGAACCATAGCCGTTACAGCGCGGCAACTGTAGGAGGGTCTCGCTCCGCTTCCGATGATATTGAGTAGGAAGGTCGCACTCTTGGAGGCCCAGTTTGGTGTAAGCACATTACAGTGTAACGGACCGGATGAGATGACAACGGCATTACGGAAGCGCAACTTCGACAAAATCGTGAGTGGCGATTTTGGTGGCGATCCCAACTTCAGTTTGTATAGGTAATCAACTTTCCCCATGTTATGTTACCAAAGAAGAGTCTGAAATTCACCACCGCTGTGCACCCGGAAGAAGGTGGATTCCGACGCTCACCCCTAGCATTGAGTTGGTTATATGGCCCTTTCAGTGCTTCCGCATGGGCGTAAATCGACAAGAGAACGCACCAAGCCCAGTACCCCACAACAGTGCACTGAAATCGTGGACTCCATACCACCTTCGCTCAGTCGATATCTCACGGCAACCTTTGCAACTGCTAGGACCGCACTCCGACATCCGCACGGAGAGGTGAGGCTAAGCTCGGCGCTCGTTGTCTTGATCTGTTAGATGATTAGAGTCGAAAATGATAGTATTATCTGGCGTAACGGCGATGCTTCACACATGAATCAATGCGTGTGGCTTCGACTAGTGATGCACAGCCTTGTTTTCAACTCCGTCATTCCAAGGGTTATCGTATATTCTCTATAATATATCGTATCTAATATGTTATAACGTATTGATATGATATGTAGATATTAAATATAATATCGGATATACAGGGATATGTTATTATTGTATGTTGTCAGCTCCACTTGAGATTACCCCGACGGAAGATTCTTAATCGTCCCGGGCGAGCATTAGAGCGAGCAGTGTACCACTCAGGTCTGGAATTGATACGGACGATCAACGGCGGTTCAGTAACAACTTGTGGTCGGCTGAAATATCGATATACTCACATTCAGGCATTATCACGTCTTTCTTACCGGCCCAAGGATCTCCTGGGGAAGAAAATTGACCTGGATGATTGTTTGACGCTGGTTTTCGCGCCAAGTCACAAGATAGACAACATGGAGAGCCACGAAGAGTTTCTCGGAAAGTCTCTACTCCTATGACTATGCATCGGATGGACGGCTTGGATGATCTGTGGTAAATCATCTTTTCATTTCCCGTGGTTCATTAGTGTTCATCTTTTGACCTGTTTTCGATTTATGGGTGTTTCTGGACATGTAAGTGAGCTGGTGTTGGCTGATTGAGAGACCGACCGAGCCTACCCACTGAATGAATGAAGACTATGAATTGCCCCGGAATCAGCATCACCACGCGAGACTGAATGTCGGGTTCGAAAACAACGAAACGAGAGGCAACATAAGTCTTAGCACATCGAAAGACTTTAGGACTGCATTTCTCTGGAAAAGTTCCGGTCATGTCTTTTTTCACGCGCCACGTAAAGGATTCAACCTCGGCATGCCTATTCATCACCAACTTGGCCATATTCGTGCAAAATGTCGTCATATGTCGGAGAGATTTCATGAAATTCTTATGCGAATGACCCCGAATATTCGTCCTGCACGGAACAGATCACAGGACAGATTTTCAGAAATTCACAGAAGTTGTTGGACAACTTTCAAGTCTGTAGCCATCTTAGCTTAGTGGTAGAGCGTCTGCTTCGTAAGCAGAAGGTCGTCGGTTCAATCCCGGCAGATGGCTTTATTTCTATTGTTCGAGCACAGATTTCCTTTTCCGTAGTCAATTGTGCGCCGCTTGAGTTATTAAGGCATCCTGCACCTGATGACCGACAAGCAACGAATCTGGCCCTTACCTCCATGCTCAGTGGCTTACTCCTGCCAATTGAGACATTCGTGCATTCGAATGAAACGAAAGCAAAACTAGGGATAGTGAAACCCGCTCACGTGGAATTCCGACTTGGGCCACATCGAACTCGTACCCAGTGCTTTCCTGCAAGTAGTTGTTCTATTCCTCCGAGTGTATTGTCTTCTGACAACCCGCTCAAGCTCCTGCTGACGTCCTCTGCTCCGTGATTCCTGTACGCCGTATTCGAATCAGCCGAACCTGCAAGCAGTTATTTGTGGATGGGCACAAAGGTACTACCTAATCATCCTACGAATCAGTGATATTGCTCAAACTGCATCACGTGGGCTGATGTACTCTAACGGTGCTTAGGTATCACCAATGAACTCAGCACGTTCACCGACTATGGCATACGCAAAGAGGAAATCTATGCGAGCTGCAACGACTCACTTCGAAGGCCGGCGCTCTCTTCTAAAGTAACTCGGCCATCGGAAAGGGCTCTCGACATATTTACGAGTACTCAGGATGCCTTTCTTCAAGCGGAGGCCATGGATGCTCCGAATGGCGTATCGAACGGCACATTCCTTCACCTTCCAAACCATAATGAACATCGCCTTACTGGTTGCCCTATTCTTACCTGATTGCTGGGTAGTGTGGTACTATGCAATTCTTCAGCTCGAGTCTTCACTTCTCTTAGACGCTGTTGGATATTGGAAATAGCTATCACGTCTTGGACCATATTCTTATCGTTACATTTGTCTTATTCGTTGGAGAAATGATAATTCTCAGCCTCAGCACGCGCAAGTAATATTCGACCCGTCGAAACTCCACTGAATTCGGGCTTCAAATAGATACTTCGGAGGTTTCTTTTTCTTCATGGATTTCATTGGAGCGTTTTCCCTCTTCCTTGACATATCTTGGGCGCTCGGTGACAACGACCAGAGTCTTGAATGTGAGTTCTTCAATCACCCTTGTGATTTGTTCTCACTAGTGGTATCAGTTAACTCTGGTTTCGGCTCCAACGTTGTCTTACTCCGTGCTGCCCGTACGACTAAGCTCGGCGCACGAGCCGGACGAATAACTCGAGTGATGAGGTTGCTGAAGTGGCTGCCTGGTGTCAGCAGCACCCAAGACGAGAGCGCTGGCACGGCCAAAGTATGTACTAGTGCTAATGCATTGCCGTAGGGTCACTCTCAGGTCCTTGGGTCAAGGCTGATCAATGCTTTATCCACTAGAGTTTCAATGTTGACAATTGGCTTAGTTATGGTATTGCCCATATTTGACGTCATGAAGTAATTGACCGTACTGGGCATCTATCTAGTTGACTTGTGAATCTATTATGTTCAGGTACCCGAATGAAGATCATTCTATGCAGGCTTGGGCACAGCAGTTCGCAAGCCAGGTGCATGTTTTTGGAGAAGATTATATTGGGGGAGAGTAAGTCGACCTTGTCCACGCTCTCTTCCTTAGCCGCTGATTCCTAGGTCTTTCAACCAAACCATTGTCGAGTTCCTGGACTTCTACGATTTCCAAGAATACAGACCAGTGACGTTGGTGATAGAGGCGCTCCCAACGGGCGTGCTGTATGCGGAGAACTTTGCTGAACCACCGAATAGGATATCTAATGAGTTGTGGGTCACGAGTCATGGTTATGATGGTACGAAAGTACAAGTCATGTTTGACTTTACGGCGGTGAGTAAGACAGACGCTGGTGCGAACATTGCCTTGGTGGTAAGAAGTGCCTTCACTGGGATTCGATCCTGGGACCTATCACGCTGTCAGATCACTGTTATTATCGTTATGATACTCTCGGCGACTTTGCTGAGCAACAGTGTATCGCAAATAGTAAGTGGTTGTATGCCCATCTGCGGTGTGCCACTGCATTGTCCTTTCCTTAGGTACTGGTCCCATTAGAAGGGCTATTCTGTCGAGTGAGAGATATGGCAAAGACGATCTTCAAAACGGTCAGTCAAATCAGCAAGGTCGCCGTGGAAGAGGTAAGGTGAAAGATATTCTTCGCTGTGCGCACGTATCTTTGTGTATCCAGCGACAAGAGGATGAGCATCTTGTGAACCTCGCACATAGTGATGAGGATTTGGAGGATTCTGGGGCGTTCATGAGTGAGGCTTCGGTGAGAAAACGACAGGTGCGGGTATCGAACCAGGGACCTCGTGGGAGTAGGTCCTCGAGGCAGTGGTGGAGAAGTTGGCTGTGCTCTCGGAGATGTTCATTGCGAAGCACCCTGTTGATGCGGAGGAGCTGAAGAACCTTGGCTCGGACGATCTCGCTGTGTTAGACATGATTACCCAAAATCAGGTTCATCACAAGGAAATTGTTTCTCGTAAGTTCATCACTGTTGCTATCAGGCGCGAAAGGCCAGTCAAGACAACGAGATATTGGCTGATAGATTAGGCCGAAGTGAGCGAACAACAGCAGCAGCACGACCACGACGAAATGTTGTCGAATTGTGGTATTACTCAGGAGCAACAGCGTTGCGAACCTTCGTCTCCGACTTGCAGAAATCAGGACTATTAGATTGTGGTTTGGCCGACAGTTGGAATTACGATGTCTTGCAACACAGTCTTGAACAAAACGATGCCCTACTGAAGTGAGGGAATTTTGTGGCGCGTGACGGTATTATCAGAATCGTCTGCAGGTATATCTTCTTGGGGTCCGGGATTTCCCATTTTATCACTGGCTTCATCGACTTGGGCGTTCTAGAGGTATTGTATTAGCCCAGGTCTCCCAGCAGTGGCTAGGTAATTTCAGGTCTTCTTAAGGAGGGCACGGCTGGCGTATTTGGACAATCCTTATCACAATTGGTATCATGCGGTTGACGTCACACATACTGTTTACAGGTGAGCACTGGCCGGAGCTTGTGTGCACTGAAAACTGTCGAAGTGTTTTGTTTTCGTTTTCGGCAAGCGCGCTACATATTTTTTCCGACTTATTTTGCGGCAACAAAACTATTTTTCCAGAAATTTTTACAAGACTAAGATATCGTGGTGATCGATCATATACGTGAGTGACCATATGCTGATAAGAAGATGGTATTCGAAATCACTTATAATGTATATGGTTTTTGAGTATGGGAAAATATGTACATGGTTAACCACATGTGTTGGTAACAATATGGAAATTCTGAGGAAATTTTAGAAGGTTTCTGTACATTTCTAAACGAATTTCTACGTAAATTTTATTACTGTTGGGGAAATCTCGGACTCTGCTGAGGAAAGCGAACATCTATTCCAACACTGTGGTCTTCCTCCTGAGTGAGTGTTTTGGTATCGTCAGTGATTAGGTACCTGGTTCTATCCAAGGGAATGGCATTTTTCCAACCCTTGGACTGTCTAGCGGTCCTGTTGGCCGCAGTAGTCCACGACATAGGGCACCCGGGAGTCAACAACCCGTACTTGATCGAAACTGCTCATGAGCTGGCTCTACGGTAGGTGGTCAAAATGATTGAGGACAAGATGCTGATGGTTTAGATACAATGATAAATCACCTTTGGAAAATATGCACTGTGCGCGCTTTTTTGAGCTGAGCAGCGATGCTGAGGCGAACGTTCTGCAAGGCCTTTCTAAGCAACAGTGAGAAGCTTGTGCGGTATGGGGACGGGGAGTATTGCATTTCACGGTATAGGTATCGAGATGCGCGACGGATTATGATCGAGTGCATTTTACATACGGATAATGCGCATCATTTTGAGATGATAAAAACTTTGCAGATGTTGTATCAGTTGAATCGCGAGGTAGGCGAATGTTGCCTATCTCAGTGTACTTCGGTACTCAACAGTGTGATAGTCACAAACGAAAAAATGTTGTTACTTCGCTGATTAAGGAAATTGATACGGCGAGTATGTATTATCATCTGTATGTAATTTTTCTTGTGATTTGCAAAATCATTAAATACTTTTGAGCGATTCGAAATGTGATCAGCATTCAAATGTCTGCCACTTGCCCGTTGGTGGCGAACTATGGCGTTTTTTGGTATGGAATCATATTACTTGCAGATCGTAGATGAGGGCTATGATCCTGAGGAAGAGGAGTGGTCAGGAGAGTGCATTGCACTGTACTCGAGCAATGATGTATTTAACAGAATATTTGGGGTGCGCTATGGTGTTGTCGCCGGCTCAGGTTCGAATGACTTTACTTCAACTATTCCTTCACGCGGCAGATATCTCTAATCCGACAAAGCCGTTTGAGAGTTGCAAGGCCTGGGCTAATAGAGTTTTGGATGAATTTTTCGCCCAGGTAAAAACGTCACGAATCCGATGACACTGAACAAAACGTTTTTCGTCTCTCAGGGTGATCTAGAGAAAGCCCAGAACATACCAGTCCAGATGCTAAATGATCGCAATACCGTCTCGAGGCCGCATTCCCAGATTGGCTTTCTCGAGTTCTTGGTTGCACCTTTGTTCCTGCTGCAGGTAGCGAGAGACGCAGGTTCGATCCCCGGCTCCGACAACTAAATCAGGTTCAACTCCTACCATCGT